CCTTATGACACGAACAACTGATCCCTTTTCCTAAACCCCTGTGTTTTGCCAACATAGATGCATAATGCACGCACTGGGCTTAATGTTTGCAACCGCTCCTATTCCAAGGAGGAGAAAAGAGGGAGGGGAAGGTCAAGGGGGTCAAAAGGGGAGACACCACCAGGCCGTAGCATCTTTCGTGGTAAACTGAAGACTGTCAGGGTGCACTGGAAATGCATGAATATCGCTGACCCACTTCACAGACGCCAGCGCCAACAAAAGAGCAGTCTTAAGTGAGAGCACTTTCAGATCTACCTGATATAAAGACTCAAATGGGAGGTGAGCCAGCGCATCCAGAACAGTTGACAAATCCCACAAGGTTTTGACGCCGGTCGCAGACAATGAGCACCGTTCATAAAACGGCTGACGAGGGGATGTGTCCCACAACCTTACCATCAAAACACACATAGTGGGGCTGTAATCTCAGCCAGGTAAACCTTAACTGTGGAGAGGACTCGGTCCTTATCCAGCTAGTCTTGCAGAAAGCTGAGAATTATGGGCACGAAGCATTGGAAAGGCACCTCCTCTGACCTTGAACATCAGTCTGCAATCATATAGTGACCTGCTAGACGAGGCTCTAGGATTCTGAATGGTTGTAATAACATCCTGTGGAAGTCCAAATCCAGGTTTAGCCTCTCATAGGCCGAGAACTGACTGTTCACTCGTGACCTGCAGCCACTTGTGTGCCAGCGTGATGTTAAATCTGATGGTCACCTCTAGGTGAGGTTTACATTTTTTTATAAAGAGAATTGGAATCAAGTACATTTACATTCAGTTAGGAACAACTCAGCTAACAGAGCACTTGGGTTGCATTACAAAATAAATTGCCTTTTCGGAACGAGCACAGCATAATTTCGCCTTCGTGGATCTGTCTGCAACAATAAACATCACACGACTCTGAATGTTGAGAGGTTTGAAATGCCTGATTTCTCACCTGTAGCCAGTGGTTAAATGCTTGGGATGGTTTTGTCCTCACTTGCTTTCCTGAGAAGAGAGTGGAAAACAAATGTCCAGTTGTTTTAATAGTCAAAGACATATGTACTCTATATAAAGGAAAATGAAAAAGCACAATGTTACAAATCAGCAGCTCATTCTACGTTTAAAAAAAATGAGGTCTTGCTGCTCAAGCTTTGCTGACATGAGTATTTATTTGCAGGTATTTGAGAATGTACTTAGTCTATACTAACACAGCTACATATTCCCAGAGAACCTGAACTTTAAAAAGGATTACATTGTTTTAGAACCTATTTGTCATTGTTTCAGTCAATATAATTACAGGTAAACATGACATGATGTCACCCTTACTGTTGTAGACGTAGAGTGCTCTGCAAGAAAAAGCTTTACAACACAGTCCAATAACTAACTGACACTTTCTTAGGACTAAAATAAAGTTCTGGTGTTAGGACAGTCAAAAAGTGACCAGTCAAAACTGAAGAAACAAATAAAGTCTGTCTCCTAAACAGCAGTGAGTGAGTGATCAGTCAATATAAATTAAACTCAACAAAGCCGGGATGTTAAACATGCACACAACTCTGCACAGTTTGCTGTCTTCTGTGTTATTTCACAAACTGTCCCATTTTATTTCCATTTGGAGTCACATCAATGAATGTAAAAGACAGCCTCAAATATGAATACAGGACATCATAAGACAAATCTGTTCATGTTTAAACTGAATAAAACATCTTTAACACAGTGAGACCATATGCTGCTGCCAAAATGCAGATTGGAAATGTAAGTCCCATATTAAGTACCTACCAAATGCTTGAGTCTAGCATATGAGAGTTGCTAGTTTAATAGGGACACATGTACGACGACATCCCTACAATAAACTGGTCTTTTACTGTGCAGAAAAAGTCCACAACTTTAATTGGCAAAAAAGAAAATGCTGCTGTGACACTTACTGCTAGTTTCTTCCAGGTTCCAGACAACAGCTGCTCAGTGGTGCTCAAGTAGGTCTATCTGCTTGTGCCCAGTAGGGCAGACTGGGTCACATACTACTTGAACTATACTAGTCATCTTTTGATATGAGAAATTATATATATATTTAATATATATGTTCACTAATTAACAATACAATTGATATTTTATCACTTATGAGGACAAGAGTATAATATTCAATGTAACGCTAGAAGTGTTACAATTGCCCCCCAACCAAAGAATAACTCATATTATCCCACTGTATCTCAGATAAAAGCCCTCCTCAAAGTACTCACATTACTGCTGTAGCATCTAATAATGTTGTAATCTTTTTTGTATGTGGTTATGAAGCTATTCTAGTTGTAACTATATTTTAATAATTTGAATTGAGTTTAATCTATATATAAAAACATTCAAATATATTTTACTCAACTAATGTGGTTCTGTTTTAATAATCATCAGGTTTAATAGACGATAAGAACATTTCGTCAGGAAGTCAAGACATTCCCGTTGATGCAACTTCAACTGGCCAGTAAGAATGGCTACATCAGCCCCCAGTCTGAGGCTTATATATATATATTATATATTATATATACTGTCAGTGGTCTGTGGACAGAAGAGTTGAGTGGATAAAGTTTATTCTTCTTCAGTTTCACGTGTATTTTACTAAAAACGGCTTTCTTAACAAGGGTGAACTGTTGGAGTTTAATGATGGTTTGATAACGTTACCAGCTGTCTGTGACCTGACAGAAATGCATTATAATATTCATAGGTATGTTTTAATTGTTGTATAATCTACAGACGTTCTGGGTCGCCCTTCATGGAGGCCGCCGTGTTTCTACAGTAACCCAGAACAGATCAAACACTGGCTCTGCATACTTCCTCGTCCTCAAATACAGACGCCAGCAGTGCTCATTCAGTTGCCACTAAATCCTAAACACTGGTCTTTTAATTTAGTTGTTTAACCTTCCGAACTTTGCTTTAGCACGTTGCACCGCCAAGTGGCTACTGTCTCAGGCTGGAGGACTCATGGACTAATGGACTATTGTTGTATTACTGAGGGACAGTCGAGAGAAACTGTATGAACATTAAAGCCTCATTTGTAGCCAACTAAATAACGAGAGTAGTAGGTTGGATGCTGTAGCATAGTGTAGCAAAAATAACTTGATCAGTTCGATAGATGCTGTAACGTAGCCAGCCAACTTAACAGCAGGGCTGAGATCCTCCGAGTAGCACTGGCAGGTGACGGTACAACAGTGGCAGGTGACGGTACAACAGTGGCAGCCTGTGGCAGGCGAGTGGCTCTCGTTCAGCAGTTAAGAGACTCCATCCTCGATTTGCTGTCAACTCAGGGCGGGGCCAAATTTTCTAGAAAAATAGAGGAAACAAATATGCATGTTTTTTTTTTCACTGATTTTATGCAATCACTTCTGCAGCACGAGTACTGACAGGAACTAGAAAAAGAGATCACATCTCTCCTGTACTAGCTTCTCTGCACTGGCTCCCTATAAAATGTAGAATAGAATTTAAAATCCTCCTCCTCACCTACAAAGCTCTTCATGGTCAGGCCCCTTCATATCTTAAAGAGCTCATAGTACCATATTACCCCACTAGAACACTACGTTCTCTGAATGCTGGGCTACTTGTGGTTCCTATAGTCTCTAAAAGTAGAACAGGAGCCAGAGCCTTCAGTTACCAAGCTCCTCTCCTGTGGAACCAGCTTCCAGTTGTGGTTCGGGAGGCAGACACCATCTCCACATTCAAGAGTAGGCTTAAGACATTCCTCTTTGATAAAGCTTATAGTTATGGCTGGATCAGGTGAGTCCTGAACCATCCCTTAGTTATGCTGCTATAGGCCTACACTATCGGGGGATTTCCCATGGTGCACTGAGCTCCTCCCTTCCTCTTTCTGCACTCATTCATGTTCCATTAATGCATGTTACTAACTTCACTTCTTCCCCGGAGTCCTTGTGCTTTCTCGTCTCGCAGGTTCTTGTCGATCCTGGTGGAGCCTCCTGCCATGGTCCTGCTAGATTGCCATTACCAATAATGTTGTTGCTGTGCACCTGTCTGTCTGTCTGTCTGTCTCTCTCTCTCTCACCCCAACTGGTCGAGACAGACGACCACCCACCTAGAGCCGAAGGGTCTGTCCCAGGTTTCTGCCTTTTAACAGGCAGTTTTTCCTTGCCCTTGTCGCCATGGTCTTGCTCATGGTGGTACTGTTGGGTCTCTGTAAATAATGTTATAAAGAGTTCGGTCTAGACCTGCTCTATTTGAAAAGTGTCCTGAGATAACTTCTGTTATGAATTGGCGCTATACAAATAAAATTGAATTGAATTGAACTTCCACCACAGAGGTTATGATTTTGCCCATTTTGAAATAAAAAGGAACAAAAATACATTCTTTACCAATGACTACTTTTATAATCGTTTATAACATTCAGTTACAAATGAGAAAAATTCAGCTACATGTTTATTTACAAAATTGCTTTTCCACTTCTACGTAACATCCAAGCAGCAGCAGAGTGAAAACTGACACTGACATAGATAAGTGGTGTAAATATTTGATAAAAATAAAAAAACATTTTAGGCAAGGTTTCTCAAAAACAAAGCACATTGCAATTCTGTAATATTTGGAATCAGCCAGTTCGCAAAAGTTTGCCTTGAAAAATAAACACACGACTCTGGTGCAGGAGAAGGCTTATGATGACATATACTATGGATAACGATGGCTTAATGTTTTGTAATGTGTATTAAATGTGTAGCGTAAATGTTCAAGATCCTAGATAAGACATCGGGTCCAGTGTAGGAAGAACCTATAAATACTGTATAAGGCAGAAAGATACACACAAAAACAACTTTTTGCTCGTCACATCTTGATTTTCAATTACAGCTGTGTGCTCAGTAGATGGTGCTGCTCATCTCTGGAGATTGAAGGGTCCCTGTCTTCCCCCATGTTCATTTCAAAACAATAAAAAACAAACAAACCTTGACGCCACAGAGATATGTGACATTTTGTTTTAGAAATTGAGATAAGCCCACAACCACAGATTTATGTTTTTTTTATTCAATAGATGCAAATAAGCTGTCAACTGCAGCACAGTGTCTACTCACAAATATCATAACTGAATCACCCTAATAAAATATTAGAGATGTGAAAAGCTGTGTTGAATTAGAACCAGATGGAAAAACAGTCTGCAGAGTATTCATATACAGCCGAGCATAAACAGCACACTTTGCATATGATGCCAGCATATTACATAACAAGTAGACAATTGAGTTGCAGAGGTCTTTTCTACAGGATTGGCACTCTGGCGGCTTAATGATTAAGGATCCTCAAATCACACATCATACACTCGAGACATCCACATCTTATTTTAAACAGGGACTTCAGAAAAAACACCCAGCATTCACTCGGCCCTAGATAAACTCTTTTCATTCTGTGGCGAAACATAAAAAAATACATTTATATGCACTGTAGTGCACATCAAAAGGAAGGCTTTTTAGCTTTGTTGTCATTTTGTTATTTTTCATTTTAAGAAAAGCAAACCAAAAACCATAAGCGGTAAGTTTCTATTTTAATTAATTTCTTCCACTGACGGCACAGCGACACTCGGATACAAAAATTGCTGATGTGTACTTTGTTAAGAAACACTTGAAGGATGCCATCTAGCTCACTAAAGAGAGACAGGCAACATTTGGGGCTGCCTTGCTGTCCCACAGCTGCTGAACGCAGTCAAATCTGTCAGCCAGAATTAAAGTGCTCAAGTTTAATGATTCATTGTGACTCATAAAACAGTTTGTGAATCAACATACCGGTGTGTGTGTTTGTGTGTGTGTGTGTGTGTGGTGAGCTCTTCAGGAATGTGTATGCCTGCATCAGTGTATTAACAAAGCTTCTGTTTTAGCGGAGTGTGCAGGGGACAGTATGAGAGTCATGTAACCGGGAAAGGTGGGTGAGGTTCAGGGGTTGTGGCTGGGTTGTGGCTCAGTACTGGACTCTACTGTGGCCTCGCCATCGTGATGCATTTGGCTGAGCTGTTTGACAAGGCTCTCGAGTTGAGGGTTGCCCCCAAACTCCCTGATGAGGCGGTAGGCCTCCACCTCCAGGTCCCGCAGAGTCTGACGAGTGTAGGCAAACGAGCCAACCTTCTCCAGGTAGTCCACACAGTATCGTTTGATGTCCATGTTCTCTGTGCGCTGCCTCAGGATGTTCTGCACCTGGGTGCTCTCTGGCCGCGACCATATGGCATGAATGGTGGGGAAAGAGAACTTGCCCTCGGTTAGATCCTCACAGAAGCTCTTGTTCTCGCTGTACTCGCGAGAGCTGAGGTTGGCGTAGTCATCGCGGATCTGGAAGAAGAGGCCCAGTGTGTCCAGCAGTGGTTTTAAGTCCTGTTTCCAATCTGAGAAGAGCTGCATCAGACCCACAGCCAGGCCAAAGAGCCCTCCAGTTTTCTGCAGCACCATGTTGCGGTACTCCTGCTCAGTGGGACAGGTGTATGTGTCCCTCCAGTGGATGTCCAGGCCCTGACCGCGATGCAGCTCTAGCAGCTGCCGGGTAAACACTCGTACAGCCTCGGGGTGCTCCAGGGTCAGAACCTTTTCCAACCCTAAGAAGTAGACGTAGTTGGCTGAGTTGATGACTGAGGGGATGCCGTAGATGCTGTGGGTCACAGGGAAGCCTCGCCGCAGCTTGGAGTTGTCTTCGATGTCATCTATGAGCAAGCTGGCATTATGCAGCATCTCAGTCACCTCGATGATCACCTGACAATGACACAAACAATACATAGTTTGTTTTGCTGTAGACTAACGTTCAGTAACTGTTACAATGATGCTCATGCTGAGAGAACTTTCTCTAACCTTACTCTACTCTTCTTGACTAGTAACACAGACAGTGACAGGTTCTCAGGAGCGCTGTTTGAATTATGCATTACAAATTGTATACAGTAGAGGGTGCCATGTCTACACTCTTGCCTGCATTGCTCCACTAGTGAGAGTCTTCATCAGCAGACAAAATAGATGTTGCTGAGACAAACCAGGCAGTCAGCCAGAAGGAATGAGGAGTTCAGCAAAGACACTCCAGACTGGAGAGGTTTCAGATTCAGAGATTGATAAGACTGCTGTCCATTTGATCTGGTCTGCTCTAAAACTCAGATGTTCTGACCAAGAGCGAGAAACAGTGGCTTTAAGAGATTAGAGGAGATGTAGTCACATGGTTGAGCAGCTATATCTGACACTACAAGGCTCAGCACATTTTCACTTCAGTATTTAACCTCCGACATAGATGAGGAGTATGGTGACTAACTCCAACAGCGTTACAGTATGACCCTGTCAACATTCAGACACATGCACTGCTGTGGTGAGTCATGTGGACGATGGATAAAATCTTTAGATTCTTTCATCAAGATGAGGCAGCACACAGATACTGTGCTTGCTTAAGCAAATAATTGCAGTAGTCATTTATCAGTGGAACACATAGTAAACATCCCTCGGGCAGATCCTCAACATGATAACCAAAAAGGACTTTGTTTCAGGTCCATGTTTGACACAAAACTTTAAGTTACTTGCGTAACCCTGGTTCTCAAAGTAGTGAGATATCACTACCCTTAAATAGCTTGTGCTATGATACAGCATCTTTATAAATAAGCACCTCTAGCTTTGCCTCAGCAAGAAGGGCCCAGGATGTAGCCAGGCCACGGGTAGCAATCAAGAAAGAGAGCCTAACTTTGTCCATATTTTTGATTGTCCATATGGATATTATCCCAGGATACAAAGAGTTGGACACTCCGAAACCCCTTAGTTCAGTCAATATAGATGTGCAAGGCACGAACAGGACACATCATTTGCCACCGCTGTTCTTCACAAGAAGAACAAGGCATTGAAGAGAATGCCATAAGGTCAATGGGAGAGCATTACCCAACCACCTTGGACACAAAGGCAGGGTTAGCCTTAAGCAGGTACACCTTACCCCGCAGAAAAGGCTTTTTGTACGTCAATCAAGTCCAAAATCAAACCAACAGGACACTAAAAAGAGCAGTGCAATTATACATTCCACAGTGACCATCAACCTCCCTCCGCCATGATGTCTTCAGTCTGAGGCAGGCCACCCAGCGCTTGGCTTGCTAGCATCATCAGAGACTCTTCACAGTTAATACAGGCACAGTGCCTGTATTAACCACAGCCTTCGATGACCAACCAGAGGCAGCACGAGCAGACCTGTTGTGTGTCCTTACTTGAGATTCCATTTCCACAAATGCAGAGTTGAGCCCCAGAGTTAAATGCTCCACTGCTCATGGGCGTCGCTCACGTGGCGAGCCCATCACTCCACCATCTCTCTCCCTGTTGCATGTCCACAAGTGCCATGAAGTGTGTATTTCAGCCTGTGTGTGTGAATAAAAGAGTGAAAAGAATTTCCCCAATAGGGGATTAATAAAGTCTCTCTCTCTCTCTCTCTCTCTCTCTCTCTCTCTCTCTCTCTCTCTCTCTCTCTCTCTCTCTCTCTCTCTCTCTCTCTCTCTCTCTCTCTCTCTCTCTCTCTCTCTCTCTCTCTCTCTCTCTCTCTCTCTCTCTCTCAGCGCCCGGCAACAGATGTTAAGCTAGCCAGCTGACGGGTTGAGATATGCTCCAAAGCAAGAAGTGTTTGAATGATGCTGCGTCATAGTGCAAGCTATTTAAGGACAAGTGATTCTGCCCGGCGCAGATGTCGCAATCACCAGCCATTCAGGATTGCTGCAATGAGATACATGCTTCTGAAGAATACGCAGGGAGGCATATCCCATAGTAAAACACTGAAACAAATGATGTTTGTATGGGACTGGGGACCACAAAGAGGCTCAGTGGGTCCGGCAGATGATCGAGGCTGAGTCAGTTGGGCAGTTTATCCACCAAACACAACCTTTCTTTTTGCAAGGTCCCAACACTCGCTCTCCTGCAACCTGAGTGAACCTTACACGAGAGGCAAGTTGAGGGTAAATGAACACACACATGAACAAGACAATGGAACATTACTTGGCCAAAAACATACTCAAGGATTCAAAGGTTCATTGCAAAAAGAGTGTGGTCTTTGTGAATTCAAATTCCCTGTCAAGATAAAGGAAAAAGGGCACAAAAATCACATCAACAACAGCCTCAGCCTCAACAGCAGCTATCAAACCCCAAACACAAGCACCAACAATTTTCAAGTGTTGGACTTCGAGTGTCTCCAAGGAATCCAACTAGACAGGCTGTTGCTGTGAAATACTGTAGTGCTGAAAGCCCTCACAGCTCCACAACACTTCATTGATTATCACCAGAGGTTACTTACTCAGAAACTCACTTTTTGTCAAAGCCATAACCAGTGGTCCATTATCAATGCACACTATTTCACAACAAAGGAGTACACTGAGTCCAATATATTGAGGGGAAATAACTCTGAAGTTGCCAAGTAAGATATGTGCTCACATAAACTTGTCTAACTAGAGGGACTACAGTTGACACCTGAGTCAGACTGCAGGACTGTAAGTCTGGCCAAGCTTTTAACATATTCATCCCACACAATGACACACCACACCTACTGGATTGTGTCATTCAGAAATGTTCTCTCATTCATTTAGAAAATACTCACAAAGCCAGAGTATAATCTTTATGCAGGATTCATGCTGTTTTTTTGTTAATCATAGTGTTTGTTGATGCCGTTTCCCTCCTGTTTTATATTGTTTATTTTTAAAAAGAAAGAAATAAGATAACCTGTAGTTTATGCCCACCTGAGGACATTACTATTGTTATAATGAGAAGAAATAATAGTTCTGACTTTGACAGGAAGCCTATCAAACGATTGGCTTAAGAACTGAAAATATATTCTTATTTTTATTGACTTATAATTTATCAGCTATAAATTCATTATCAGAATAATATATAATACAAGTTTCCCCACCGTCAACCAATAATTCAATCTGCCTCAAACTGACATGAATATGGTATCAGTGTAAGAGGTGTTTACAAATTGAGCAGGTGCAGGTGCATTTAATACCCAATGCAATAGGTTAGCTCAATTCATTGTTGTCTGTAATATGCATGTTGTATTATACATTATTCTTTGTATTGTGATTTACTATGATGTGCAATAAAGTTGATTATTATTAAACATTGACAGGAAGAGAAAAAAAGACCGAGAACAAGAGAAAGCCAGTCAGCTGAAGGTTACAAAGCAACTGGTGTGTACAGAGGGAATTTCCCAAACCTCAACAACCTGTGCTGTACTACACTGTAGAGACGCACATATGGGGTCTTGATAAAAAATTCATTGGCAAATGAGTGAGACAGTGTGCCACAGTCACTGCCTCTATCTATCTGAAGGCACGGTTGTTTCCATGGCGGCGACTTCTTGGCAGCAGTGTGCTAATGATGACGAGAGGACTCTGCATGATGGGTTCAGCAGGAGTTTACAGAGCCGCTATCCAGAGAGAGCGAAGAGGGGAGGGGGGAGACAGAGGGAGTCAAAGGGGGAGATAGTGCTTTGATATGTGTGGTAAATTTAAACCTCACCTACCCGCTGTACCAAAACAAGGAAGTCTGAAGTGGAACTATCAGGAGAACAAATGTAGATTCGGTTACAATCTGAATGTAAATGTCGGCCATATGAACTGACAACTAATTCACATCAAAAACTGATCAGTCAAACTCTAAGGTAACATGTCAGTGAAGCCTCAAGGAGCAGATGTGCTCCTGAAGTGAAAACATCAGCCCTTCAGTCAACAGACGTAGCGTGTAATGTGAAAATAATCAAAAATGCCACACTGAATGTTGAGTCGTTCCTTTTATTCATTTTGGATCTGAATTCATTCATTTGAAGACATGCAGCCCACTGTAAGAGTAGTAGTGTGAAAACTGTGATTAAATATATCTCCACTGATACAAAGTGTGAGATGGATGCTGTAGCAGGAGGAGGGCTGACATAACAGGATTGATCTATAATATTCAATAATTCCTCAGACGAGACTGACAACTTTATTACTTGTTCACACACATGCACCCAGGGCTGAAACTAGTCATCACATCGGGGGGTGACTTTTATTATGCACTGGAAGATGAAATGACCACAGGAAACAGTGCGACCTCTGAGGTTTGCTGCAGGAGGAGGATTCCTGTATTTGGGAAGGATTTATAAAACATTCAGGACAAAGGAAGACCTGTTGAACAGCAAACCTAATGAGACCTGACAGACTCCGCATTCTGCAATGTGAAAGGCATGTAGATTCAGGAAAACACTGATTGGTCTCCATATCTTCATCACTGGACACAGGACCAGTGTTCAGCCACAACAATGCTAATGCTATCAGTATAATAAGGTCAATGGCCTGATCTCCCTAAGTGGACAGTGGGGAGGGTCCTGTTCAATAAAACCAATCATTCTTAAATGGCTAATTTGATATTATCTGAGAAGAAGCATGAATGCCAACAAGCCTGCTATCTGTATGTGTGACTCAATATGCCATCCAACCAGGCAAGCCAAGAATATGTAACACTGTAATGGATGAGTGGAGGTGTACGCTTGCCTGGGAAGCTGTCTGTGACTTGAATCATGCTAATCCTTTGCTCACAGAGGTGATCAGGGGCACAAGGAGCTAAAAAAGAAGCAGTCTCTCACTGGAGATTAATGTGGATGCAGTATGTCTTAAAATGCATAAACAAACAATCCCTAAATTCTGCCAAATATTCGTTTCTTTAGATATATCATCTGGAATATACTGTATAGTAAAACAATTATCTACCATTATGACCCATTTTCATTCAAAAAGCATAAACTAACACCGATGTCAAGGCTTTCTTTACGGATATACAGGGCTGCCTGCCATCATCCTCCACTGTAGCACCATTTATTCCATTTTTATCATGCATACAAAAAACAGAATATTCTGGTAGCTCGCCCTATCATATTCCGGGAAACCCCTTGATTATAAACTACAGCTATTACAACTGTGCTCAGAATCAATTTGGTTCCTTTTTCCATCCAACTTTGAAGAGAGAGAGAGAGATAAATCTAATGTGACTAGGGGGAAAACACAATGCTTTAGAGTTTTGGAATCATACTGATTGGCTTTTTTCAGACTCTGTAGAGGAATATTAAAAGGAGGTAAGACAGCAGATGACAAATCTGCCTAACTTGGCAAGGGTGAGTAATCAAGAGAAAAAAGCTGAACTTGAGGTGGTCGTCTGAGTACTAGTTAGAAGGGTTGGTTGTCACATGACCAGCATGCACAGAAACACACTGAACTGAACGTGAGCACCATAACAAGAAACCGTTATGAATGATACCGTGAAGTGGATTCAGTACACATTATTTGCACAGTCAAAACTAACTAAAGTCATTCTTTTAGGTATGGACACCGTCAAAACAATTGACTACAGTTAAAAACCATGATGACTGAAGCTGGAAGCAAGCTGCAACTCTATGCATGATTTAAAAGCAGAAGTGGGAGAGGATGGAAAACCTATTATCTGGCAAAGATCCTCTTTTACATCAAAATGTTATTAATCTTCATGGAAATGCTAAAAATATAGTTTTAGTACGCAGGTTCCCATCCTCTTGGATTCATGAAAACTTAATTTGAAAGCTTTTGATGTCTGTATTATGTTTCAGTTGAAGAGCACATAATTTTTGCGGTATTGTAGCCATCAATAGCTCGTTAGCTGGCATTGTTCTACTTTCTTTTAAACATAATTTTGAGATGTTTGTTTAATATTGATGTGCCACCACTGAGCGATTTGAAAGCTCTGAAATGAAACAGTAGCTGTAACAAAGTGCCTTTTGAAAAGGAAGAATAGAGAGCAAGACAGTTCAAGTTTGAATGATAATGATTTAGGAAGCACAATACAATCAGTCATTATTTAGACAATAGGCAGGTATTTTTACATATTTCATTTATTCAAGGCTGCATTTGTTCCTCCATTATTCTTTATTTTTATATATTATCAAAGGGTTAAAACAAGCTCTGCTGTGCTGTTCTGGAGGTAGTAACTGTAGTCTTAACCCCTGCTGTTCCTTAAAGTGACACATTCACCAGAGCTACACCAGATCCTTTTTGATCGCTCCACAAAATGTGTGATGTGGGCGGAAATCCAAAGGTCTGGAAACAGGGTAATGGACTGTGCCTCTGAGCAGCCAAACCTCGAAATAATCTCTTATAAAAACAGTTAATCGATGGACTATATGTAACGTAGACGAGGTCCATAATAGCGACAACCCCACAACGAATTACTGTATCACAGCTTTTTGCTCTTGTGGCTTCTCATTTTAGTTTTAGGCCCCACAACTTAACTATGTGGTTTGGTTTCACTTCGGTTTTAAACTCATTTGCAACAGCTCCGATAAACTCAGCGTACCTCAAACAAATGTAACAACTGGCTGATGAAGAGAGACGAACATTCAGCAAAATTAAGATCCAGATATTTTTCTCAACAGCTGATGGAGGCCAAACAAAAACTAAAACGACTAAATACTGGGTCTAGACTTTTATAATGTTGGTCTGTGTCTGCTAGATGTTTAACTAAACAACTGTCTTCTACCAATCAACTTGTTTTAGAGTTCATCTGCCCAAATGGTATCTTAAAATTGCTTAACGTAGCTGTAGCATCTGGGCTATACTTTACTTTTTAAAAGTCCAGTGTGTAACATTTAGGAGGATTTATTGGCAGAAATGGAATACAATATACATAATATGCATGTATTCTTGGAAATAAGAATAGTTACCAAAGAATAATGACAGATCTCGCTGGTTGCCTTCCATACAGACCGCCATGTATCTAGAGTAGCCCAGATTGGACAAACCAAACACAGACTCTAGATGGAGCCACATTATTCGGGCCTTTTGCGGCCACCGTAGTTCCTCATTTGCACTTGGAAATGGAGGATGAAGCAAGTGAGCTGCGATCTTCAACTCCACCGCAAGATGCCACTAACTTCTACACACGACACCTTTAAAAAAGTGACTAAACACATTATCTACATGGGAAACAAAATGTATCCGACTGTATTTTTCACCCGGATCAGGCAAATATTGAAAAGGGGTAACTGTTCTGTTTTTAAACCGTTGCTACACCTTTTTCATTTCATTCCACTTGATCCCCAGCTGCATTAACAACCTCCTGTAATAAATCATGGATGCTCAAGGCTCTACACCCAACTTTACATTTATATTCAGTTAGGAACAACTCAACTGACAGAACACTCTGGTTGCATTACAAAATAAATTGCCTTTCCGGAACAAGCAAAGCATCATTTCACCTTCGTGGATCCGTCATCAACAATAAACCTCTGAATGTTGAGAGAATAGAAATGGCTGATTTCTCACCTGCAGTTTGTCCTCTGGAACATTAAGCCAGTGGTTAAATGCTTGGGATAGTTTAGTCCTCACTTGCTTTCCTGAGGAGAGAGTGGAAAACAAATGTTCAGTTGTTTTAATAGTCAAAAGACATATGTGTTGTAGTACGAAAAGGAAAAGAAACAAGATAACCTGTAATTGCACCCTTCACAATGACTGCACAATGTTACAAATCAGCAGCACATTCTACGTTTAAAAAAAAAAAAAAAAAAAAAATGAGGTCTTACTGCTCAGGCTTTGCTGACATGAGTATTTTTAGTCCTTATGTTGCAAATATTGTGAAAGCACATTTTGTTGAGGTGTATAGTAACACAGCTGGTGGGTGGGAACTACACATTGCCAGAGAAGCTGAACTTTAAAAAAGGATTATATTGTTTTAGAACCCATTTGTCATAATTTCAGTCAATATAAAAGATAAACATGACACGGATCTTACCCTCACTGTTGCTCTGCAGGGAAAAGCTTTACAACAACACATCAAATGAGACCAAAAAATAATATTTCTAACTAACTGAGACTTTCTTAGGACTTAGGTCATATTTACTAAAATAAAGTTCTGGCATTAGGTCAGTCACTGACAAAAAGTGACCAGTCAAAACTGAAGAAACAAATAAAGTCTGTCTCCTAAACAGCAGTGAGTGAGTGATCAGTCAATATAAATTAAACTCAACAAAGCCGGGATGTTAAACATGCACACAACTCTGCACAGTTTGCTGTCTTCTGTGTTATTTCTCAAACTGTCCCATTTTATTACCATTTGGAGTCATCAATGAATGTAAAAGACAGCCTCAAAATATGAGTACAAGACATCATAAGACATTAAATCTGTTCATGTTCAAACTGAACAAAACATCTTTAACACAGTGAGACCATATGCTGCTGCCAAAATACAGATTGGAAATTTAAGTAGCATATGAGTCAGTTGTCATGATTGTGCTCTAAATGCAAAACAAAGTAAAACAAAATGTTACAATGGATTAATTTAATCTGCTTTAAGAAATTGAATATAATATTCACAATATGTTTTCATTAGTGTATAATCACCTGAATATAGAAACATTTTCATTTGTTTTTATCTACTTTTAATCTTTTAGCAATCATGTCCTCTGTTTGTACACTAGAGCCTTTTATCGCATTCATAATTTTAGGACATTTTGCTGAAGCTAAGGTCCAATGTGACTCACACGTGAGCGGGTCAGGGCTCAGTGTAGCTCAAGGACTCATCAGCGGTATACGAGGCTTCTGATGACCTTTTCACCAGCACGTCTCCACCTCTTCCACCACCCTACAGTCACTGACATGGAAAAAGACTCACCTGGCAGCTGCAACAAGTACTTGTATGGTTCCAGCAGAATTCGCTCAGAGGCGGCTTGTGAGTCACTGTCCATTGCCTAAGGTTTACACAAGTCTCTATAAAAAAAGGACAGAGAACAGTAAGTACGTGAGGAAAACCAAAATGCAGTTGTTGAAGAAGTCGCCATTTTTAAAAGATTAAAAAGCATTTCTATGTAATCCGATTACAATCAATCCAATACACTTTTTTGTCAAATTAAGCAAATATCTGCTAACTTTCCGCTCTGTATTTGTGCTGAAAATAAACAAACACTGTAAATGAAAAACAAACAAAGCTGACCGAGCCACACAACACTAAACAGGGAAGGCTAAATTACTTAATGTACATTCAGCTTACTTTCTAGCTTGCCAAGATATGTTGTTGTTGTAATGTTAGCAGCAGGAGTGTATCGCTGTCTGGAGCTGGTGTGCTGAAACTGAGACAGCAGCAACTGCAGCAACAGTTTACGAGGCCACAACACAGCTAACGTCAGTGACATTACTTGTTGTTTGCACTATATCATGGCGTTTGATTTCTCCAGAATGGCTTACCCCACTCTCTCCAAAAAGAGATGACTTCTTCAGAGATTAGATTATTTAAGAGATTCTGATCTGGTGTAGCAGCGGTTTCAAGCCACAAAAGTCTGTCATGCCTTACATCTGCGGTTGATTGAGAGCTGGCTGATATTACCGAGCTCTGAAAGTTAAAAGGCTTTGTGAAAGTCCACAATCACTCTAAAAACAAAAACAAAAGCAGTGAGGTGTATAATTCTAATTGGTTATATCCTGCGGTGTGTTCATGTTAGATGACTTGTATCAGTTATTTCCCAGCACCGGGCTTAAAGCTGACTCTTAACTGGCAGGTTGGGGAACCGGTGAACTGTAGTTGAAGAAATTGCAGAGAGCAATCTGTTGGCATGACAAGATCAGCGTCAGACTTGAAGACTGACATCAGATGCATAACTGCACAATCATACATGGGAACTGTGTGGGTATCGTTTGTGAGTGACACTTGCAGGTCTTTTGTAATGATACATTTCTAGGACTTTTCAAGCAATTTTCAAAGAAAAACATTTTAAAATGAAGGGCCAATAATTCACACAAATGAATGTAGCACAGTACTATACAAGGCTTGAATGGTTTGCCATAATTAGATGGCAGTAGAAATTTTACAGACACTGAGAATAGGGCTGGGCGATATAGCTGAAAAATGTATCACCATTTTTTTTTTTAATATCGATAATCATTGATAATTTGTAATTGCTTTGAATTTAACCATTTTATTTATCAAGGCACACAAATGAACAACTAACATCTTGCATAAAAAACTAAAAACACTTTATAAACTATATTGATTTTCTGGGTTTGCTGCAAAGACTTAACACAGTCCGGAAATCAGTACAACCCCCATCCCCCGCTATGAAGTACTATACCGTCTGACTGAAGATAGTGAAGCTTGGTCCAGTCAACGGGATGTATAACAGTTGCATCATAGCTTAGAGTACTGATCTGGTAGGCTAAATCCAAGCACTTTTAAAAAGATCTTTTCAGGTACTTTTCTGACCCTCTCTAACCCTACTTTAAATAAGCAAATAACTGAGATGCAGAAAATGCAAAAACTAATACGCCGTTTGTAAAGTTTTACATTAAAAATGAAAGGTTTCGACAAATCGGATTAAATATTTTCATGATGTAATGCACTGTGTCCCAGATGCATGTGTGCAGAGCCATGAAATCCCCGAGTGCAAGGTGACACACTGATCACATGGACAAGTTAAAACAATCACATTACTGTTGAATCACTCAAACTGCTCACGTGTGACGTAGCAATAAAAACAGAAAAACTAATCTGTCTGTGACGGATTGTGATCCTCACCAAAAAAAATTTATTCTTACACAAGATTGGCAGTTCAGGTTTAATTTAATTTTTTTTAAAAAGCCCAGACTACACAAGACGCATCCGGTCACATCATATAGATCTATAAGCCAGTATATTATTTATATATATATATATAAAATTCAGTTCAAGAGGGAAAACATTCACTGCTGCTCCGCTTGTGAAGTCAATGCACAGCCTCACAGCTACTCATTATAAATTACATTATCAGACCGCCACAACATTTTATATCAAATAACACAATGATGCATTCCATTTCCCCCGAGAGACGGCACAATATTATATTAGGGAAGAGCGGCTCTTCTTCGTCAGGTAATATTATTTACCGCGTCATCGTTGCTTTTGAGAAGTTGACATCCGAGCTGCGAGACTTTCAGCTCTCCACCGAACGCTAGAGCCGACCATATGAGCCATATAGGAGTTGCTAGTTTTATAGGTACAAATTCAATCTAACACAGACCTGGTATAGACCTTTCTCACAGCAGCCAGTTGGATATGAAATAATAGGGTAAACACAGGTGTCACCAATGATACTAATTAAGGTTTGGTTCTATTAAGGTCAAATAGAGTCAGGGTGCTGCTGTTGTGCATATTGGCTCACTGGAGAGGCTCTGATACTCTAAATGATACAGGAAACCTAATTAGTATCATTCTTAACAACTGTGTTTACCCTACTATTTCATGTCAAAATGGCTGCTGTGAGAAAGGTCTATAAACTTGATAAACTGGTAATTCAGTGTACAGTAAAATTCCACAATTTAAACTGCACACTTGACATTATAAGTGGAAAACAAATACATAATACACATTTTTATCCTCATCTCTTCTGCAGCAAGTGCAGCCATTTCTCAGTTCAACTGTATCTATTCCATATTTACACACTCTGAAATGTTAATGATTTTGACATTCAACCAAACAGCAAGACACACCAAGATCCCTCTAATGCCACTGGCAGGTAGTGGCCCACCGGAGAGAAGTGTGCATGGTTTGTTGTTACGACATGTCAGCAGCCGTAAATCTGTTTTAGGATGTTACTGAGAAAGCAAGCAAGTATTGTTTTTCATTCATTTAACTTTTGCCACGGAGGTTATGATCTTTCCCATTTAAATAAAAACCCTAAACACTATTTTTTTTAAAGAGCAGCAGAGTGACAACTGACACTGACATAGTTAAGTTGCAGAAAATATTAAAATACCAATAAAAAAGAGTCACAATTGTGAAAATAACTTAATATTTGCCACAGGAATGACACTCCTAGTGGAGGGAAGTCAGTCCCATGAAATCTATAATCAGAACGGCATCAATAGAAACACAATCTGCTGGATTTCATGATTAATTAAACAGAATCGAACTAAAAGACTATAAAATGGACAAATTAAGATTCATGGACGGTTACTGCTTGTGACATCGAACATGTGGCGGATGTGAGTTAGTGATTCATGCAGCCCGAGTCAGACCTTCAGCTCAGGGCAGGGGGCGGGCTCAGGGCCTGATGGAGTAATTAACATGATACCTTTCCACAAATAAAATCAATATAAGAGTTTCAGTAGCAGGTAGGAGAGGAAATTCAGTGAGTGAGTTAGTGGAGATTGTGACAAGGGCTTAGGGGATGGGACAGTGTACAATATTTACACACTTAATTCCAACTGAATCGTGAATATGTTCAAGATTTGTAGGTCAGGTAGGTGTAATGTTATTTTATGATGCATTTGAGCTTTATACAAGCCTGATATTGCACCTGCACATCACAATATCGATAATATTTCGATTAATTGCGCAGCCCTGTTTGTGACTCCTTTGAATGGGTCACTGGCACATCACTACCTGCTACTTACCAGTGAAACTAGGAGGATTTTGCTCCTGCTGGAGGGTGCAAAAACCCAAAATAGAAAATATAGAGAAGTGTTCATGTTGGCATTAAACTTCCTTACCTTAAAACAACTTAAACAGAAATATTAATGAATGGAAAAATCACACTGAGCCCAAACTACATATACAAAACAAAAAAAACAGCTGTGACACAGTTTTGCTCCAGCCCCCGCCCCCCCCTGTGCTCTTAACTCCACCCACCTTGGCTGCTGTCTGTCAGTCCGCTGATTGCCGGTCTTGTAGTCCTGTTAGCCACACACTGCTAGTTAGCCAGCGTTAGCAAGCTGACAATCTCTACTCTACCGCCGCTGAGTGTTTCTCTCTCTCTTTCTCAGAGTTAAAACTTCCACTTCAACGCTGGTCGACTGAGGCCACAGCCACAGTGTCATATGATCTTTAGGTTCCCTGTGTTTCTGGCCACTTCACCACATGCTATGCTACGCTAGTTCCGCTACCAGCATGCACTCTGCTTCACAAGACAAACTGGTGATGAGCTACCTATATATGTTTCGGTTCCGTTACTGCGCAGGCGCACAGTAGGTGGGGATTTTTTTTTTTTTTTTAATTTGTTTTTTTTTTAACTTTATTAAACGTCTTTAATTAAAAACAATCACACAATCAATGGACGTTATACCTAACAATTAATCAAAGCAGCTTATATTAACAGGATGTTTTTTTAAAATATAAGCTACATTAAATTAACTTTAAATGGGGTTTAATCAAGATATAACTTAAATAAATATTTTATTATTATTTATAAGTGCCAAAAAGCCTATAAGCAAAATATAATTTAAAAAATAAAATAAAAAATAATAAATTGAACGTCTTTATTTTACGTAAAATGTACGTTGGGAATGTAACATGGGCGCCTCAGTTACGTTGCCACAGTTACGTTGCTACATTTCCCGGTTAAAGCTTCCGACACGTCACCGCGCTGTCGGGACACTCTGTAATACATATCGAACGCACAACGCGTTCCAAATCTGGGAGTTGTAGTTTTTTTACAGCGTGTTTTTATCCCCCCCCCCCTTTATCTCTCTCTGTATTGTGAAAGCCACCCAGTAGGATTACTCCATACACCTTACCATGGATATTTTTCTCCCGCATCAGCCAATCACAGGCTGCTAAGGCGGGTCCCCTTCGCGGTGCCAGCCAATAGGCGACCGAGATGCGAAAGAGGCGGGCTTTAAACCGCCCGTCAATCACTCTCAGGAGGCGGAGGGGAGGGGAGGGGAGTAGAGAGGGGGGGGGGGCTGAGCGGATCACAGAAAGAGCTAGGCTAGAGGAGCTACTCAACAAGGCAAACAGCAGCGCGCTGCGAAAACGACTTTTCCCCATCCGCATCCAGCACCGACCGGCGGCCAACGGACGATTTAAAACCGGTCAGATTCCTCACATAAATGTTCCAATGGATTACTAATACACTTTCGTCGAAAAGCAGAAGTGTTTCTCAACTTGACAGCATAGGTGAGCCTGCTTTTGTTCGGCCAAAGCCATCGCTATTTTGAACATTTCTTTTTTTTTTTTTTTTTTTGTGTGTGTGTGTGTTACCAGCCTTGCTTGCTTCCCCCTTGCTTTGCTAACCAAGCCAACCTTGACGTTAGGTTAACTTGTGAACTAATAATGCTGCGCTGTGTTCAAGATGGGGGGGTTGGATTTTATGGAATGAATGAATTAGGGACGACTGGGACAGTAACACACACACACACACACACAAAAAAAAAAAAAAAAAAAAAGCTGACGGTCGAGAATAGAGGAGGAGGAGAAAAAAAAAAAACTTGGGTCAGCTCGATAACAAAGTTATGCTGTAGCCAGCCGAATTAAGCTGATGAGCACGGTGAAAGGTTATGCTACTCCGCGGGGGTTGAATAGTTTCGGGGGGCCAGGCTTTTCGGACAAGCCACCGGGAGTGTTGTGTTTGTTGAGCGGAGGAATCCTCGGAGAGATTTTTTTTTTCTCTCCCTCTCTCCTCTGGTCGTCGAGCAGCGGCTGTCATGGTTGTTCCCTCATAAGCCGTCAAAAGTGAGTCCTTTTTTTCCAACCGTTGGCGACCTGCGTTAGCTCGAGCTCGCTGCGGTTGATGTGATTTGTGCGACCAACGGCTAAAATTTTTTTTTATTTTTATTTAAAAACAAAAAACAGGTATTGGTTTGTCCTTTTTTTTTTTTGTGCTACCTCACTCCCCGGTCGACTTGCACCCGAGTGTAGGTTTTTTTTTGGGAGCTAACCGAGTAACGTTTATCAAGGAAGTCGCCCGTTTTAATCAGTTGTGGCTGTATTAGCAGATGCGAGGTGGACTATTTTCCCACTGCTATACGGTGGTGGTGGTTGGAAGGGGGGAGAGAGAAAGAAAGAGAGACAAGAAGGGGGGAGACTTGTGTTATTCTCAATGCTGCGTGTGCGTGACTAGTATTTTGCACTATTTCCGTAACTCACCACAAACTGACCGGGCAGGAATCGTTTACCGGAGAGGTTTAAATGGACTCGACACGGCTGAAGCTGTGTGTGTATGTGTACATTATTGTGTTTTAGTGGTGGTCAGTCACTCACTTGCAAGCGGCTTGGTCTAACGCAAATTGTCTGGGGCGCGGATGACATTGTATCCTCCGCGACCAAAGAGCCCCAGCACAAATGAGGGCTGCGACCTTGGCTTGCGCTATAACAATAATAATAATGATAATATAAAACAATAATGATGTTGTAGGTGTTTAAATGCGATGCGTTTACAAGTCTTGACCTTGTTTCTTTGTCAGGAGCTAACCTCACTCTGAGAAAAATGCCAGACCGAGTCGATATGGAGAAACATTATGTGAAGAAAAGAAAGTGACTTTTTATTTAAATAGGGCCGCACAGCCGAGTCTCACTTTGTGTAACTTACAGCTGTTATTGCGACACAGCTTTTTTTATTTTCTTATTTTAATGTGACATTTCTGCCAAAGGTCTGCTTCGGTAGCGGTGTTGTCTGCCCCCATAAGCTGTGTTATTATCGGTCTATTTTTTTTAATATAATTTGCTGTCGAGTGTACTCTGCGCAGAGAGAGAGAGAGAGAGAGGCGCACCGAGACAAGGGAGAGAAGCGAAAATGAAAATGAACGGTGTCGGGGTAGTTTTTCCTCTAAAACCCCAGAGATTGGTGTCGGAGGGAGACTGGCTCTGGCAGGGGCAGGTGAATTGCGGCCACCGTTTCCCGCATTTTCCAGTGTTTGTGAGCTGAAGTGTTCTCCTTTTTTTTTTTTTTAGCCGACTGTCAGCTACAGAAATGGCGTCATCCTCTGCTGTAGTGTTGGTATAGTCAGTGCAGTGCAGACAGCAGGCACACAGCCACGCTGCCGTGCTCAGAAAGAACCGAGCACCGTGCTGCTTTTACTGTATCTATCACTTCACCCTTTAAAACCCATTTATCCGTGCATTTGTGCAGACAGGAGGAGGAGGAGGAGGAGGTCGCCTCTCCACCCCTGCGACTAGTTACTTTGTGTTTGCTCGCCCTTCGTAGCCACAAGCCAAGTCTGGGCTGCTGACTGACTACACACAGCACACTGGGCATTACATAAACGGCTTACAGGGCTCTGCGAATGAGAGTGATCAGCCTGCCACGGTTTTACTTATTTGTTTGGTATAAAAGCCCGAGATGCACATATATTATTTAGCGTATTGCATTAGTTAGGATTAATTTAAGCAAATGCACCTTTTTAAACTTTTTTTCTTAAATCAATCACACGAGTCTCCCACCCTCCTGAACCCTACAATTTCATGTGCAGATGTGTTTTTTTTTCTAAGCTGTGTAAAGTGTGCTGTCTACCGCCCAGTCTTCATGGCATCCAGCAGTAAAGCAGAATAAGTGATGTCATCATAACACAACCGTGTCTTGTTGTGGCAGACTGAAGTTGGCACTGTCTGTAATGCCTAACAGCTTCTCCAACCTCTGTTTTCAGCCTCTGATTCGTTGCACTGGTCACCCAGAGGACTCATAGAGAGATGAAGGTAATGTTCATTCATTTTTCTTGCGTGTGTTTTAATGCCACGGGGGAAACTCAATTAGATCACTGCTACTTCTGCATCAACAGTCTTGGCTCAATTTAGTTTAAGTCCTGTATAAACACGTCTCAACCAGGCACATCAAACATAAAATGTTAAATGTAATATCAATATTTTAAATGCATGGCCTCATCCTTTTGTTCTCATGAATATAGCGGGTGTGAACTTTTGCTAAATGTCAATTTTGGTCTTGTTCAAACACAGCAAGGCCAAGTGTCTTGGACATAAGCCAAAGTAATATATTTATTTGATAAGCATGATATTGAGTTTCCAGTGGCTTCAGCTGCATTTGCAAACACAAATTGGGATCTGTTATTTTGATGTTATGCTTTGTATTACAATGTTATTGAATTACATGCTGAGATAGGGCCTGGACATGTAGAGATGTATGTGGATGTAACATTCAATTGCTTTCATAGTGAGTGTCTAACCAAAATCAATGCTGACACTATTGGTGCATAATAAGAAACGAATAACAGAATAAATGAGCTGAGGAATTTAGAGAATATTTAAAAACCTCTGGTATTGGTTTTTTCCCCAGCTCTTTTCAATCTCAGTCACAACTGTCATTGTTTGGGAACTAGGCTGTGATGCAAGCTATTTCATCTTTCATATTTTCAATGGATCTGATTTGTGGCTGTTGTTATGCCTGCCGGCTGTTGTGTCTTAGCTTGTCATTTGTTGCCATGCGAGCCATCACAACATAATCCAACCCGCAGAGGTGTTTCCCTTTTAAATTAATTGGTTGGACATACGGAAACTTTAGCAAGAGTCTGGATGTTTACTTACATCTTATGTGGCACACGTAATATGAAGTGTAACAGGATGATGGGCAAAGAATAAAGAAAGTAGAAGGTGTGAGCACTTTGATTGGCTTTGCAACTGGAGAGTTAGTGGTGGACAATTTAAAATCTGCTCTAGTGATTATTTGTAGTCACTTTGTACCTAATTAAGGTTTCTTATTGTGGTTAATCAAACTATACCACCATCCTCTAATAGACATGTTAGCAGTCTATCAAAGTATCCAATTAAACTGAAACCTAAAGCATCAGGTTATATATATGAAAATAGTTACCAGCACAAATGTTTTTGTTTGCATTATTATTAAGGCCTCGTATGGGAGATGAGGAAAATTATTTTGTCCGGGTACAAAGGTTTACATTTTTATCGTCAGCAACCATCTCTGCTGCCTGCATTCATACTTGTCCCACCAGTAATGCTGACTTGAACTGCATCATGATTTGTGGTTATGTAATGAATTGTTTTTGTCAGAGGAAGACAATGGGTTTCCGATTGTCATGACTAGAAACTCACTCCAGTGAACAGGGAGCATCTTGGCACAGATGATCTAGAAACAAAAAGGGGTTAGCACCTAATTTACTCCTTAGGCGAGCTTTGCTGCTTAAAAAAAAAAAAAAAAAAGTGTCTCCTGGAGTAAAGCTTTAATATGTGAGCGTTCATTTAACTGTTGCCGTTAGTGCTCATGACCATGTTGCAGTTATTACTCTCTCCAGCTGGATAGCAGTAGGCTGTTATTAGGTGATTATTATGCTTACACTTTTTTACTTTCACAACTGCTGACAGGAGTGATGTTTCCACATTGACATTTTCTGGTTAATGTTGCAGCATTAGTTGTTTTCATAGCGCTCTGAGTCATCTGGCTCTGCTGACGCTTGAGGAGTGCTCACTTATTTTACTGCTCTCTATAGTAGGAGCATCTGCTCCATGCCTAAACTGTAAATTGCTCTGTAACTAGGACAACTTTTCATTATGCTCGCTTAGCATTTCATGTCACTTTGGCTTATGGTCTGCAGCCTTTCTTCATCAGCTGCAGACACTGCTGTAACACGGTGTTCTGGATAAAAGTCCTTTAACAGTAGACATCCCAAAAGAGGACTAATGTGTAATGCAATTGTTTGAATTCTCAATTCATTTAATCTTTAAAAATCTTGTAAATTCCTTAAACGGGATTTTGGTAGTTGTACTCGGCTATTGCACTTTGTCTGTGACCTTAATAACCTAGACAAGATGTAATAAAAACGTTCAAGCATCAATAGCAGTGATGCGAGCACATGCTAAATATTTAACTTCAGATTTAAGCACTGTCTCGTAATGGCCACGGCCACGCCATCTATACACTCCCGTCAACTCATTAATAACTTAATGGTGTAGTCTACATGCTTGTAACTGTGTATGTTGTTAGGACAGCGGCGCTTCTAAAAAAATGCCCCAGACTTTACCTTTTACACTACAACAACCAAAACTCTTGCACACTTTCACTTTCACTCACTCAGTATATGTAGTATATGTAGTTTAGTTGACTTGTCCTGAGACGTTCTACTCAGCCTGTTTATAACGAGAAATAACTCCGCTTGAACTCGAGACTTCGTGTGACATAAAGCATACGTTACAAACTGAAGGCATTTAGGAGGCCGGGTAGGTCTAATGAAAGATGCTATTGATGCATTATGGGAAATGTAGGATTCAGTCTTTTTAGAGCCTGACCTATGCGAGAGAGTGAAACCTTAAAATTTGACCATTCTGTTTCAAATCTGTCTCTTGTGAGTCACGCAGCTTTGTGGAAGCACAATACTAAATTGCTGGGTTACTGCAATTGGCAGTCCAAAGTTGTTCTATTGTGTGAGAACAGTAACCATTCAGACAGATCGAAGCTGTTAGTAAGACATTTACTGTACTGTGGGAGTGAAAAGTCCAGTTATTCCTGCATGTAGATGAGTTAACAGCATGTGACGCTGTTGTGATACGGTACATACTGAAGCATTTGGGAAAAGACCCTTCAGCAGGTCAGGTGCAGTAGGTTGAAGGTGTCCCTGCTTGGCAAGTATTGAAACACCCACTGAGGCCAAATACGAGACTGCTACTACTCATTCAGATGGCTTATGCAAAAATGGGCTATTTGCATTTTGAGTTTGAGATACTTTAGAGTTCACATGTTTGGTAAGTGGTCAGGACATGTGTTGCTTTAAGAGTATAAGCATCAGTAATTCCTCAAAAGTGGTATAAAAGCTGCTGTCAGGTTTCTATATTCAAATGCAGAGTTGTTGTTTTTTTAAATGTTTAAAGTTTATTTAGTGTGTATGTGAAGCTGCAGGTGGAGTAGACTTATAGGACTGCTCAAAATTGTAGGGAATAAGTCCGTAAACAAAATATATTAAGATTGTTATTTTATTCTAGTTTAGGGCTGCCATGGCATTGCCAAGGCAACTCCTGCTGAAGCACCAGTCACTGGAATTGTGGTGACTCTGGTTTGGACAAAGAGGTGATTCACAGCAGGATTATTGTACGTGTGAGCTTGGCAGAGACTGAGCTTAATTCTTTCCTGCATGACTCTTGCATGTTCCTTTGTTTGGCCTACAAGCCTATTCATTACAGCACAATATAATGGGTCAAAAACAATTGTTCATAATATTACAGTAACGCCGCTTAGTGTCTGAATGGTATGTTTAAAAAGTGCAGTTTATACAGACAATCAATATGCTAAAATCTAGTTAACTTGATTTAACTAAGACCTCTGTTATGATTTCCTGTTTCCACCACCCTCACCTGATGCAAAGGCTGAATATAAACCAGCTTATGAGCCTAACATCATCTTGCACTGTTGTGTAACACGAAACATACCAACATACCGTAGTGACACATTCATCCTAACAATAATTTCTGCCTTGAGAGGTGCACAGTCTAGAGTAAATTCAGGGCAGTGGCAACAGTGGTGACCTAAAAACTCAGGTTGTCTTTTAAAATTAAAAATGCAGTGCCAGTGAGGTGAATCGTTGGTGTGAAAAGAAGGCACAAACTGAAACTCTGATCTGAAGTGGAAGTCACACACACACGATAATATAATTTGATCTCCAATGCCTGAACAGGAAATTCACAAGAAACAATTAGATGATGCACTCATGCACACGGTTGGTGGATGATGGTGGGAAGGTTGACATCAAGGTGTAGATGGAAGCGAGCTTTGCCTTTTTATTTCAGTTATATGTACATCATATCTGAGTTACACTAATAAGTAGTTATTGGCAGCAATAAGTACTGTTGCAAGTAAAAGCCCTGTATTCAAAATATCACTTGAGTACATGTATGTATTTTCAGAAAAATGTACTTAAAGTATTAAAAATAAAATAATATAAATGTATTTTAATATGTAATTAATTTGTTAGTACTGATGCTTAAAATAAATGTAATAAACACCTTTCTAAGTAAATGTTGCAGCAGCAAATTCTAACTAGTTTCTATACCCTTATAGTATAGAAACTATCAATATTCAATAATATTATATTCTATTTTATGAATTGATCATGTATTTTGTGTATAAAATCTTTTAATTAGACCTCTTCTCGGCCAGTGTCTGTGTTGGTGTGTACAAATGGTGCTTGATAAACACATTCCTAAGCCTCCTTTACTTATTTTTGTTGTAACTTACTTTTAGTCAGTTGAAATCATGTAATTCTCAGCACAGCTCCACCAAACTTACACTTGACTAGACTTGTCTAATCTGCCAGAGTAATTGAAAACACCCATGTGAGTGCAGAGCGCATTTCATTTGCAAAGTAATAGCAATAGCTATCAAGTAAATGTAGTAGAATTTAAAAAAAAAAAAAAAAAGAAAGCACAACATTCCCCTCTAAAATGTAGTAAAGTAGAAATACATAATGTTGCATAACATGGAAATACTAAAGCCCTTATTAGACATTTTGTGTTGATTCTGTTGGCTCCTGTGGATAAAAGTAGTAGTGTTTCTACCAACTCGTTTAATTGATTTCAATGGGAATCCGACGCTGTGGCAGGCATTAGGAGCAACTACATAAAAACATATAAATAGCCAATCTTCTCACTGGTGGTCTTGTTTGTTTATGTAGGTCAGTATTGAATTGAGACTGTTTCATAACCAGTTTTAAAAACTCCATGTAGTATGTTTAGGTAAA